ACTTCAATCAAACGACTGAGTACATTCTTCGGACTTAATTTTGAAATAAAATAAGAAAAAAGCTGGAAGTGTCAAGAATTTAACCAAAGAGTTTTATTCTTGTAGCCGAATATTCCGATCCAATCTTTTTCGTCACTTTTTAAGGTTAGGGTAGGTTTAGATTCTAGGAATGAATACAGTGCACTGTATTGATCCTATAATTTTTTAACTGCATTTGGATCGCAGTCAGTTCACGTGAATGTATAATATATAATAACATTTTACGTTTTATATGTGAATATAATATATTTTCGGATTAACCGGCCATTCGTTTATACGGTCGGAGGTCAGAGGTTAAGAGGGAATCTGCTGTATGTTACATAGTGTAGATGCAGTTTAACAGTGCGTTATTCAAAACGAAGAGAAGATCGACCTGATTTCCATTTATCGCGAAAGTAGTCAGTGCTTTGCAGAAGCTATCCGGTTGTATGAAGACGGATTCCTGATCGCAGTTCTCCATCTATTTCTAGTTATTTACATTTAATTAAAAATTTCAACGAGACTGGTAGTGTTGAAAGTGAGAAGAAAATGCGAATACTACTTTCCCATAAATTCCGCCCTTGTCACATATCACTGTGAGATAGAAGCACCTATCAAACGGAGTAATAACAGCGAGGAAATCAAGAGGGCGCCTTAACTGTGGGCACAGAGTCTTGGCTCGCCGATCGAAGATGGCGGATGTTCGATTTCTGCTTGGCTCACCTCAAATTTTTCCTGGGCTCCTACATCACTTCACCAAAAGATCCGCGGCAGACATTTTAAAAATCGCATGAATTTCTGTGAGTGAGGTCTGAGGCAAATTAGGAATGATAGGCGATTTTTTAATAAAGTGTTATTTACTAGTGAGGCCTCTTTCACAAATCATGGTCTAAAATAAATTTAAGAAATATGCGTTACTGGAGTTACGACAATCTACGATGGCTTCAAAGAATTGAAGTTTGGTGTGAAATTAAATTAAATAATAAAATAATTTGACTTTTTTTTATCCCCGGTACATTAACCGCAACGAGATACGTTACCTTTGTAGAAGAATCTTTGCCGGTTCTTTTAGAAGATATTTCTTTACATATCTGCCGAATAATGCAAGAGAATTTCTGAACGATATATTTTCAAATCATTTGATTAGACGAAACGAACAGGCTACCACGGCTAGCTTGTTCCCCTGACCTAACTCCACTCGATTTCTTTTTGTGTTACAAACTAAAAGATGATGTTCTTTTATCACATCAGAAAACATGAGAGAAAAAATAAGTAGGTGTTGTGCATCTATTCATTGGAAACGGTTAAAAGATTACTTCAAATTCTTCTAGGGTGTTTAAATGCATGTTATTGCTAAAAGCCACCATTTTGAACATTTAATTTAATTCAAATAAACTGATTGCAAATTTTAAAGTTGCCATTGCTTTATCATAAATTCTTTTTAGTTCAAGGTCGTCTCAAGGTCATAGTATCCTATATCGTTGAACATGTCCTAATATATTATAAGTCAAAAATATATGATGCCATTTAAAAAACCATTCATGAAAAAACCTTGAAAATAACGTCAATCAGATCTGCATGGATCATATTTGCTTCCTTGAAGAGTACAACTTTTCTCTTTGATACTTTCTTCTCTCTTCAACCCTAACAAATATACATATTTAGGTGTTCTGTTTCTCGTGACTTACCCTGCATACTGAAGAAGACAACCGGTACATATGTAGGTACGTCAGTTAAAATGTCAAAATAAAAAAAAAAAGGACAGTCCGTAAAACGAAATTCGTAGCGACAGCACAATATTTGTCACAAAATTTCGAATTTAAAATTTCTCTTACAATATTTAGAATTGTGTTCACAAAAGTGTTACAATCAGTACTCACTGAGTTCGTCTTCCTCTACAATAATAAGGAAAAAGAATCGTATGATTCCGTTTAAGATGTTCAAGGTGACCTTGATATTGTCGCGAAGAAAAAGTATTTTCAAAATGTTTATCGTCGCTTTACGTTGCTCGTTAGAAAGAGATAAATTTTTTTAATAACTTTTTCTCCTCGTGTTATCTCTTATGTGTCTATACATGCATTGCTGACTGCTGATAAGCAAATTTACTTACAAAGCGGATATTATTAATTAATTGTTCAATTGTTTATACAAATTGAGAAACGATATTATATTTAGACATTACGATTTAAGAGACAACCGTGCGTTATCGATCGTAATTGAACGTAACTACTTAAACTATGATCATACATTATATTAATTATGTTTTCTCCCTAAAGTTCATATTTCAAGTTATAGCTTCTTACTTAAAATGATAAATATAAGAATACTACGTTAGCAGAAACACCAATTCAAGATGTAGAATGCTTTAAATTTTGTAATAGCACTATCTTGCTTAACCTTCGGAGAGCGTGATAATCGCACGCATGGCGGATGACGGGTCAAATATGACCCAAAGCTAAAATCTTTCCTCTTAGGCAAACGAAACCACATTTTTCTTATTTTACCAGGCATTACATTGTTTAAAACTACACAAATATATGACGACTGAAATAACAAACATATTCATGATGTAAGGAGAGGAAAATTGTAACTTGGTTTCCAATGTCGTTTGAAACAAGCTCAGTGGTGACCCGGCATCCGCCGTCCGAATGTTAAATATGAATTCCCTTAATTACTTTTATGTAGACATGAACGCCATTTTACATAATGCTTGAAGTGTAGATTGCATAAAACAGATCATGACAAGGAGAATTTTATTTTCCAAGTAGATAATAACATTTTTTTACTAATGCTTTATCCATAAGAACATGCTGAATTGAAATAAATAATTGCAGGTTGCTCAGTTGTACGCACATACGTTAATGTTACAGTACTTTATTTCTGAATAAAAGTTACTCAACAAAAGAGAAAATTACAATGCATGTTTACATTTATGAATGCATTAATGCACATCCTTTCAAATTCTTAGAATTTGATAAATTAAGTGCATGTTCGATATAATTTCATAAAAAAGAAACTCAAAGGTATGACAACACAGGACGAGTCACAGGAAAACTACACTTCAAGCACTATGCCTAAGGATCTGGCTAATCAAAAAGTTAATTTTGTGTACTCAATTCAATAATCCTTTTGATGCACAAATGAGGAGCTTTCTGGAAGAGAGACCTATAGGTCTACGGGTCCATTTTTCGTAAATCCCGTTTAATTAACCGCAATATGTTTAGAAATATTCCCTCCAAATCTCGTTTCAATATTCCAGCAATAAAAGTCAGAGCAGCACTTTCTGTTGAACCGTGTACAGTTGATCTACAACTAAAACTTCCAATGCAATTTACTCAACTCACTACTTTGACCTGTGGGCCCTTGTTTCAGAAAACTCCTCAATTTCTAATGTACATGCTAAGGAAGAATCATTACTGAAAAGGGAAGAAACTACAATGAAAATTGTATCTATGTTTGACACTGTAGGTGATATATTTTAATAGAAAATTTTCGAAAAAATCATACAGTATAAACTGGATGCTTAAAAGTTATAGAAGAATTAATTAAATCCTCTTTTAGCCAATGTTGCACGGTATCCTTTCATTTTCTTAAGTAATTATAATTCGGAACGAAAAATGTTTACAATTCCTTTTGATCTAAATTTAAAGGCTAACGTTTCACTTGAAACATTCTTTTAAAGCAAGTTTAAATATTGAAGGTAAACTTAAGTTACGAGAGGTTATACTTACTGAAATGGTTGTACATACATAGGTATACTTACTTAAAAAGGTGTCCACGTTATTATACAATATATGTATACGTATACTTAATATAACACAATAGTGAAGTTTGCAAATTTATAAGTACACTTCGTAGGTTATTATTAATTATTTATCTTCTTTGCAAAAATGCCAAACTTGTTGAAATACACGAAATCTCTAGCATAGACGTAATTGATCATAATAGTCCATTGGATCTTTCACCGTAATTATTGAAACAGCATTGTTTGTTTGAAAAGAAAAGGAAACGCGAAGAGCAATACTGTGTTTACAAATACGACAGTTCTGAAACGCTGAATTAATTATTCACTAATTTTCCTTGTGTTCGTAAAAATACTAAGCATGCCTTAATATATGTGTCAATATATTCAGATTATTTCACTAATTCTGCTTGAGAAGTTTCTACAGGTGTATTTATATAATATGAGAAAGTTCACAATTGAAATGCAGTGAAAAACGAAATTCTACCTGTCTGATGAGCTAAAACGCATAATTAAATTTCAGAATTTGTAAAAAATATCACAAAAAATTGTTCGAACTACTTTTTCATATAATCGATTAAAATAAAGTTGGCATTATCAGCGCGGTTGGAGCGCGAGAAAATAGAAATATAAACAGAATATGAAACGAGAAAAAGCTTTACGGATGCATATCTTCCTTTTGGGCCTTGCGAGTATTTCAAACACAAGTTACCACGATTGTTAAGTAAGAAGAGGAGAAAAACGAGGAAGCTAACGATTTCTCTCCGTTTAGATATACACTACCGGCCAAAAGTTTGGAATCACTGAGCATTGCAATTTACACAAACATGTGCAGAATAAAGTCAGCGACTTTGAGAATTTTTTACCGCTCGAATCAAATGATACGAGATAAATTGATAAATGTGGAATTGGGATAAACTTCAAATCTGTAAAAAGTGGGAGGTGATTCCAAACTTTTGGCCGGTAGTGTACATAAATACACAATGCAATGCATTCTCGTCACAGATTTAACGAAATATTCTGATGATACTTGTGTCATATAGGTGCGCTGATTGCATCTAAACAAACGTATACTGAGTGGAACGTATGTACAATGGCATAGTTTCACGTAAAGGAGTGTTACTGATTATACGTGTAAGTAGGTATACATGAAAGATTATGAGTATATGTATACATACTGGAAATAAAATGTTAATAGACAAAAGAGACAGGATTGAAGGATGTAATCATATCATAATACCTTTTTCCATGTTCTCGCTTGTATTCGCCGCTGTACTTGGACCTACTGCCTACGAGCTCTATTATCTCAGGTATGCTACTAGCAAAAATTGCCTGCAAATAGAAATCATAACTGGAAAACGCTACGCCACTATGAACCGTTACAAACAAACTGGGTCATCTATGTATGGTTGCAATGTACAGCAGGGCTTTCGCCAGATATATATACACGTTCCCTGGATCCTCGGATTACGTGGTCGCAGCAGATCAAAAAATGGGGGAATCGAGGAACGGGTAGAGATGCGATTCAGGGGCAACGATCTGCGTTCTCTTACTCGGCGTGCGCCTCATTGTTCTCCAGTGAAAAATCCCGGCCGATCTGTTATACACTGTTATACTCATATTGAGCTATGAAAGTGTGGTGACTTCTGGATTAGCAGAGACACACCGAGACGAGCATCGTGAAAAATGCAAATTCCGCGATGATTAACCTTTGTCACGAGCTCGCAGGAAATTGACTTTGCAACTGCTACACTCAGCCGATTCGATTCAAACGGTCAATATTAGAAAATCTCGCAGACCTTTCAAATTGGTCAACGTTTCATGAACGGTCCGAAGGATGTTGAACTTCACTTAACCTCGCGATTCTCCCAAGTACGGCATGGTATTCTTAAAGCTGTTACACTTATCGTTGCTACTACTTTTCGTTTAATGTGTCATACAATAGCGGCAACGATAGTTACAATATTGCCAAGTCTCGTACCAATTGGAATAGAACGAAGTCAATTTCCTTGGTTACCTTTTCACATAAATCCATTTAACTTTATTATAAGTGTATTATTATATGGATAATATAAATGAAATACATTTGATGGTGTATATGTGTATATACATAGATGCTTATCTTGATACGCAAACTTGTAATAGTGTCAGCAAGAGTTAAGCAGATTGCAGTTGCAAGGAAGTATTATGAAAGTACGCAACTAAAGAAATAAAATCATTTTCTGTACAGAGTATTAAAAATGAAAACATTTAAGTCTTTTCCTATTATATATTATTTATCTTTCAAAAGTACACATGATTGCCTGGATTGTTTAATTCTTTTGCAATCGACGATATTTTCACTGTTTGAAAAAATTGCCTTTTAAAATGAAGGTGATTGCTTCAGATTCCCGAAAATACAAAATTTATACTCGTGAAAAAAGTGAAAGATAAAAATAAAACGGAGACAACAGAATTATATTTAATATTATTATGAAATTATTACCTGAAATTATTAGCCACAGAACGCTGGTTTGCATTGTACAATTGACATATGAAAACAGGGCTTCTTTATGTGAAAATAAACAAAAACTGTTTTTCTGCGGGACTTGTTAGATCTCTAGAAAGTCGAGTTTGAAAATCTGTCGATATATGTGTGCATTTAATTACAATACGGTTCGTCGAGCGACATTACAACAGTTATCATGTTGAGACGCAACATTTCCACGATTTTGGCACGAATATACAATTTAATTTTCGATCGGGAGTGCATCTGCTATTACTGGATCTTGCCACCATGATAGTTCTATCACAATTGATAGTAGCTCAATTACATAAGGCTATGGTGGTTGATTATGGAAGATGGAAATAAATAGAGAGAGGATATGCGGAAAAGGAAACGAAAAGAAAGGTGCGTTTGGTCTGGGGCCTACTAGTGGACTCATTCATCAGGAGACCCGTGCTTTAGACGCGAGAGACGGTTAGATTCGAGGTAAAAGTTGGACAGGGTGTCTGATCTCAATACAGAGAAATATCTTTTAAGGAAATGATGTTAGGAAAAAAATGTTTTAACAAAAGTTGTTTGGTTTGGAGGGGGGCGTTATGTGGTGTAAATATATTTTTTATACGTGGTGTGATGGAGGAGATTTCAAAGTCAGTTTAATTTTTTTAAATGGAATGCTATATTCTTTTATACATAATATGATAGCGTATGTTAAGACGAGTCCAAGGAGGTGCGAACAAAGACATTTCCTTTCATGGTAGGTCGCAAAATTGCGAAAAACCGGGAACCGAACCACCACATATTCCTCACGCGTGTTCTGTTCGCACCTCGTTGGCCTCGACTTAACATACACTATCATATTATGTATAAAAAAATATAGCATTCTATTTAGAAAAATTAAACTGACTTTGAAATCTCCCCCACCATACCCGGTACAAAAAGAATATTTATACCGCATAATTTTCCCCCTCGTACCAAACAACTTTTGTTTAAACATTTTTTTCCTAACATCACTTCCTTAAAAGATATTTCACTGTATTGAGATAAAACAGACACCCTGTATATACAGGGTATCTTCAAAATCGTGGTACAATCGGCCAGGTGGTGATTCTATATGTAAAAATAAGTCGAAAAAAGGAATAACATTTATTCAGTTAAGGCTCCATTTTCGAAAAAAATAAGTTTGAAAATCTGTCAGGTACCTGTTTCAGGTATGAAAGGAGGATGTTAAAGAAAGGCCAATTTTGACATACGGCCGGAACGAAAAATTTTTTTTACAGCATGATTCTACGCATCCTAAGGAACGAAAAATGTAATTGTCATTTTTCGCGGAAATGATGGGAAAGTTATGAGAAATGCGGTTCAAGGTAAGAGTATGACCATACTTATAACTTAATATTTTTATAACTTAATATTACGTAGAAACTCATATTGAGTATTATTTACAAAGATTGTTGTACATTAGTGTTTAATAAAAATCAAAAATAATGAAAAATAATTATTGACAAATTAATCGAAACAAGGAATTCTTTGACGACACAATGCTTACATTCTAAGCAATCAGAAACCAATTTATTCTAGAAGTGATAAAAGTTATAATAAACTATCGTAAATATAATAAAATAATCGTCATGACAGGGATACAATAAAAAAGTAAGACTCCAACAGAATTTGCATTTCTTAACTGTGTATCCACTATGAAAGCCAGAGGAAAAAGTATCATCTTACATATCAGTCTAAACATATATGTATGTATGTACTATATGTATACAGTGTTCTGTCGAACTCGCGTAGGTTTAGAAACGTCGAATGTTCGCGTAGTAGGGAACCATCTCCCGGTTTTACGGAAAACTGAAGTCTGATCATCTGCACTGCGTGTCAATTGTCGTATATTGTCGTTAGAATAACAACAAACGAAGTAGGTCGTGTGTAAAGAATTAGTTGTTTACTAAGAGACAGTGTTTTTCCAGAAAAGGATAGAATATGTATATGTCTCGGGGAGACAACAGTAAAAAAACTAATTTGTTGTTGTTTCATAGCTATAACACATCTTATTACAAGAAAAATAAACTTAGGATACGATAAAACGAAATTGTTGCAGTAATTAATCTAATTAGCTATACGTAGGCTCTCCTCTATTTTCAATTAACTCAATCATTCGATTGTGTACGTATGTATGCATACATATTATTCACGCATGCGCATACCACGCTTCTCGTTTGACACGCTTTTCGTTTGATTTTTCTCCCAAGTTGAGCTGTTCGTTGTGTACTTGAATCCGGTGCACTAGGTTCTTGTATGCAGCGGCACTTAATTCACACGAACGAATATGCTAAGTACGTAAACTGATTGGAAATCCGCGTATAATCGAAAACGTGTTGTTCGATGTATTCCCTACAAGACTATAATCGCGCGGTATAAGTGACGTTCGTCGTTCGTCGAGGCACTCGTTCGACAGCCTCGTAAACACCGACTGAGGACGAGTCGTCCTGCCCGATATTCGATCCCTGTACGCTCGCAACTGTTCTGGGAAAAATTCTAGGCCTTAACTTTTATAAGAAACGCGAGCCTGGGTCGCTGTACGTACACATCGAGCCAAACATAAAGCTAGCTGTCTGTTCGCGCACAGAAAAGAGTTAACGGGAAAAGAATTTTCTGATTTTATATTACTTTTATTGGCAAAACCGAGAACAAACGCCACGCACGTCGTTTTTAATACAATACAATACGCCATACTGTTTTTCGCTCGACGCATGCGCGATCGCCGCTCCCAGCGCCGCTCGGTGGACGCACGCCGATCACGGTAAAAAGACGCGCCCCTTTTAAATTCAAACCGTTACACTGTCCTTTTGAAAGTAAAACTATCACGAGTTACTCGCGAGTGGACACTGCTTCTGAGAGTGACTGACTGAGAGCATCGCTCAACTATCTGAGAGTTACGACTCGAATAAACAGTTGCTTTGAAAACACGAAGCAGTTTCGTATTCTTGACAGAACTCTCGTGCGAGTAAAAGAAGTCAGGAAAAAAAATTAGTGGAGAAATGAAATCACCGATTTAATCACTCTCTATGAAGAAAAGTTAGAGTCTTACTTTTTTATTGTATCCCTGTCATGACGATTATTTTATTATATTTACGATAGTTTATTATAACTTTTATCACTTCTAGAATAAATAACTATTGGTTTCTGATTGCTTAGAATGTAAGCATTGTGGCATCAAAGAATTCCTTGTTTCGATTAATTTGTCATTAATTATTTTTCATTATTTTTGGTTTTTATTAAACACTAATGTACAACAATCTTTGTAAATAGTACTCAATATTCCATCATTTCCGGGAAAAATGACAATTACATTTTTCGTTCCTCAGAATGCATAAAATCATGCTGTAAAAAACTTTTTCGTTCCGGCCGCATGCCAAAATTGACCTTTTTTTAACATCCTCCTTTCTGTTTCTACTCGGGTTTGAATAATTAAACATGGACAATGTTACGGTTTGCTTCTTCCTATTGCTGTTCAAGCATAATAACAGCGTTGAAGTATTAAAAGTAAAGATGGTTTTGCCGTTCGAATATTGAAAAAATACACATAATTTACTACAAGGAGTGCATAATGATGTAATTCAAAGAGCAGAGCTGTGTAAACAGCAACACAGTCAATATTTCGAACACTTGTTACATTAATAAAATGATTTTGAAGTACTTAATCTTATTCTTATTTATAAAACCATCTAAATTAAATACAGAATAAAAGAAAGTAATAATATTGACCGATATCGCGGAAATAAGATAACTGCAATAAGAGGAATCAAATCCGTACCTGACGGATTTTTAAACTCATTTTTTTCGAAAA